CATGCTTCAGACCCCCGGCTTGGGCCCAAAGGACCCCCCCCCCAACCTCCCTCCGCTGCCACCGCTTGCACACACCCTGCACAGGCCGCTCTCTGTATAACCAGTGGGTTTAACTCATTACAGGGCTTATCTGTTTAGCATATAGGCATTACCGCACTAATAAACTGTAGGAAGGAAATAGTTTAGGGTTGTTCTCCTGCTTCATGCCTCTTCCTCCTCCTCTTCACCTCCTCCGTCTCCTTTCACTGACTTTAAACTTGTGGCTACTATGACATTCCAGGGGTGGGGGTGGACCTTTTGTTTTAATCTCTGTCAATGGAGCGTGGAACTTGGTGCCCTCTCCCCTAGCTGTGTGTGTGTGTGTGTGTGTGTGTGTGTGCTGGGGGGCAATTATGGTGGGGAGGTAAATGGAGGGGCTGCAGTGTTTCCGGTATCCTTGGCGACACAGTGGGGATTTGGAGTTAAAAAAGCCCTCAACTTAACCCTCCCCTACCTCATTTTTTCTTTTTAGTGTGTCAGTCTGAAGTGGAAGTGACAGCGCTACTTGGGGACTGTTTTAGTGTGTGTGTGTGTGTGTGTGTGTGTGTATTTGTGTGTGTGCTGGTGGCAGGGAGCGTTTAGTGACTCCCTCTGTGAGAGCATGGGAACTTTACATTTCAAAGCCAAGCAGAGGGCACCCAGAGAAACTGCAGTGGGACAGAAGTTTTGTGCGCACGGGGCAGTGAAGGGGAGACGGAGTGGGTAAAAAAAGAGAGAAAGATGAGTGAAAGGGGGTGAGTGTATGCATGCATGCACGCGAGACTGAAGGTGAAGCATTTTTTTTTACAGACTCTGAGGAATTCTCATTTTGTTCAGATTAAGAAAGTTGGGGGGGCGAGGAGGGGGTGTCCGTGGGAGAAGGGGCTTGGATTATTGGGGGTGGGGGAAAGCGGTGAGGGGGGGTGATGGACATTCCTCAGGATGAAGTAGGTCATTGTTCCCTGTCTCTAGTGAAGAGAGCTCTCTGAAGGAACTGATGAAGTGAAAGCAGCGGAGGGAGGGAGATGCAAAGCTGGATGGGGAAGGGGGGTACAGGTCCATATACGGGAGGGGAAGAGGGGAGGGGGGTCGCATTATTCAGTAATCCTATTGAAAATGCCTCTGAAGGACAGTCCAAGAGAAGCTGGGAGAAAGGAAAGCGAATGGAATGTGACAACAGAAAAATGCCATTGATGGTGGTCAGTTTGAAGCGGCTTGATGTGGAGAGACGTCTCTGCTGAATGGCAAGTCTACAGAGCAAGGAGCAGCGCTGCTCGTTCAGCCTGACAGAGATGCTCCAGCTCCACCTTTCACCCCTTGTGCTTCACTCCTCTCATCCCCTCTTTTCCAACCGTCCCCATTCCCATAACACATTCCTTTGCCTTTCATCCAAGATTTTATGCTTAAGCTGTTTCTGTTGAGATACTCAAAATGTCAGGACATGGGCACAGGTGAAGTGGAATGACCACCAATCTGATTTGAAATGGTGGCGGCCACACAGGCGTAGAGTCAGAAAACAAGGGTGTATCAGGACCTTCAGATGCACTAGCCTTGCGGCCGTAATATTGCAGTTTTGAAATGTTATTTTGTCACACAACAACAATCTTTTAGTTATTTACATACACTGTGGTCATGCTGGAATCTGTATATTTCAGTAACTTGATGAAAACTTTACAATGTGCTTGTGTGTTGCCTTATGTTTTGTAATGGGATACCCACAAAGTGTGAATTTGCTGTTCCCAAAAATCATAAGCAGAAGTTATTGAGTTAAAGATAGATAAACTCAGCTCTCAGTCTCTGTAGATGTCCCAAACAATATGTTATCTATCATACAGATTCAATTTCCTTTGTAACATCTTTAATATAATCCCTCCCCTTAGACAGACATGAAATGTGAACAATGGAAGATTGTTTGTTCTGGTTCTTTGGCAGTCTCAACATTTAGTCATCACACTAATCCCCCTCCTCTTTCTTTTCTCCACAGAGTTTTTCCGTGAGCTTTTGAAAAATGCAGAGCTCTCTCTGCACAACATGTTTGTGCGAACATACGGGATGATGTACGTGCAGAACGCAGAACTGTTTAAAAACTTCTTCGAGGCCCTGACTCGGTACTACTTGCATGGCAGCACCTCTGTCAACCTGGACTCCATGCTGTCAGACTTCTGGGCCGACCTCCTGGAGAGGATGTTTCGGCTGGTCAACGTGCAGTACGAATTCAGCGATGCCTACATGGAGTGCGTGAGCCAGCACACGGAGCAGCTGCAGCCCTTCGGTGATGTGCCTCGCAAGCTCCGCATCCAACTGACACGTGCCTTCATTGCTGCACGCACCTTTGTGCGTGGCCTGACGCTCATGCCAGATGTGGTCAACAAAGTTTCCACGGTAAGTCTAAAGGTGTTTGTGGAGCTTTTGTCTTTGCTAAAAAAGGGCAGTCTACCAGACACTGAGAAGGTTTTTTCCTCGCAAAAGCTCTGTCCATCCCTCCCTTCTGTGTTTCTGACTTCATATCTGCAATATGGAAAAAACTGGCTGCGGGTCCATTACAGTGTCTCTGATAACATAAACCACTTTGACTGTTGTGGTATGGCATGTTTTTCCACTGTAGTGAGTGATTCATCGGTGATTAGATTATACTGCTCTGTGGACTTTGCTTATAAAATGAATGGTCATGCTTTTTCATAGTCCAAGTATTTGTCTATGGTGGTGTTAGATGAGTGTTTTTGCGGTGGTGCAATGATAACAGTCTGCTAACTGCCCCCCTGCCTCCAGGTCAGCGCGTCTCCCAGCTGTGTGCGAGCGGCCATGAAGATGTTGTACTGTCCCTACTGCTCGGGCCAAGTGGCCCTGAAACCCTGCCAGAATTACTGTCTGAATGTGCTGCGTGGGTGTCTGGCCAACCAAGCCGACTTGGACACAGAATGGAACAATTTCCTCGGTAAGTGACCGTGATGTGAAAAAGGACACCTTCTGCAGCCACTATTAAACTAAACTAAACTAACCTAACCTGAGCTGCTAAACCACAATTGTGTTTGATTTGGAAACCGAGTATATTTGAACAGCTCCAAGTTGCCACTGCAGTGTTCATGTTTAACCAAAGAATCATTAAAGTTTGCTCTTATCTAACCTAATCCACTCAGCGTTATCTAAATATTCACCCCTCTTTACCCTTGTGGGCATGAAACCAGTGTGACATGATGGGATTGGTGCCATGATGAAACTGGGGTGATTAGATGAGAGAGAGATTTTTTCCAGTGTATTCAGTTGGGTTATTGCACTTCAGTTTAGCAAGAACATGTTTCACAAAGGGACACAGTGTTTATTGTAAAAAAACAAAAAAAACATGTACTAACACATCCCTCATTCTTTAGTATCTTGTATAAGTACGAGAGGGAGGGGTTGTCCAAGTTGTACATGTTGTGACCCACAGGATGAATGCAGCTCCTGTGTTGTATAAACACAGATCCAGATCAGTTTCATTACATTCAGGGTTGGATATGTTCACTGTTCTCATCTGTATTTACAGAGTATACATGACTCAGTCATGTGACAAAAGATGTTTCCCGACTTCTGTACCAACCATTACATGTGTTTATCCCTGGCTGCTGACACTGCTACTGTCTGTGGAGTCGCCTGGTTTATGCTGCCTCTTCACTCTGCTACAGCTTTACTCTGCCATAATCTGAGGGCTCAGTTTCACTGGTTAACACTGCTGCTCCTGGGCATGTGCTTCCCCCTAGTGGCAGCCTTTTGTAACGTCAAGCTTAACTGAAGAAATAGAAAGTAATTTCTTGTGCTGTTTTTAATGTTATCACCCATATTCTGGTTTTCAGATGCCATGCTTAGTCTAGCTGAGAGGCTCGAGGGTCCCTTTAATTTTGAGTCCGTCATGGATCCCATCGACGTGAAGATTTCAGAGGCCATCATGAACATGCAGGAGAACAGCATGCAAGTGTCGCAGAAGGTCAGTATTATTTTACTGCATTTATAAAAGAAAGACGAGAGATAAACAGAATCAGTTCTATTAACTTCACTTTATACCTTTCTGGCAGGTTTTCCAAGGATGTGGTCAGCCTAAACCAAACGCGGCCTTCCGTTCCACACGTTCTGTCAAGGAAACAGGCTTTACCGGCCGCTTCCGCCCCTACAGTCCTGATGCCAGGCCCACCACCGCTGCAGGGACCAGTTTAGATCGATTGGTAAGGACCAAGAACTACTACAGAATACTTTCGCTTTGCTTTATGTTGTCATGTCTGACTTGTTTTTGTGTATTATCCATGCAGACAAATGATGTGAAGAAGAAGTTGAAACATGCAAAGAAGTTCTGGTCCACATTGCCAGAGACCGTGTGTGCAGGTGAGAGGATTGCACCTGGGGACGAGTGCTGGAATGGAACAGCAAAAAGCAGGTAAGATACACACACTTACAGAATCTAAACTGTAATGTTTGTGAAGTATTGTAAGATACTCACAACATGCTTACTAACATTGCCTCTCACTCTACATAGGTACGAGTCAGTTGTCATGGGCAATGGTCTGGCCAATCAGGTGTCAAACCCTGACGTGGAAGTGGACATAACAAAGCCAGACATTGTGATCCGCAGTCAGATTGCAGCTTTGAAGGAAATGACGAGCTGGCTCAAAGCTGCGCACAGCGGCAATGACATCTCCATTGATAACGGTGAGGATGGTTAACCTTCTTCAGGATTTTCTTTATGACATAACGTCTAAGTTGAACACATCTGACCATTGTATCTTTTCTTTCCAGATGAGGATGGCAGTGGAGGAGATGGAGGAGAGAGCGGTAGCGGTTGCGACTCACCATCCTGTGACACAGATCGGGACATCTACTTCTCCACTCCACCGAACACCGGCAATCCCCGGGTTAATCAAGTGGTGGTGCGTCCATCAGCTGCGGTCGCCTCACAGGGAAGCATGGCGCTGGCGCTCTGTGGGCTGGCTCTGGCCCTTCTTGCTCCCCACTTGAGATAAAACTGGCTGGGCAGGGAGAGGAAGAGAACGACCAGGAATGACGGAGTGAAGGGGAAAACTGTCAGAGAGACTTTAAAAAGACTGCCTTCAGGACCTTGGACTGTCCGCCATTTGGGGGGGGAGGGGACTCTTAATATTACAATAACTTCACTTTTAATTATTTGTTTGTATGTTTTTAAGGACATCAGTGTACAGCAATATGATTTTCTTCCCCAGAAATCCACCTTTTATCCCATTTTCCCCCAGATAAACCTTTACTCCTTATGGCTCTTTTGGAGCTACACTATGGTTCTGCTTGCAGCATTACAAACATTATATAATTGTCTTGTTTTGGCAATTTAATCTCATAATTCATTTTTGTGCCTTCTTCAATGATTGCCATCTGACAACTAAACAAAAAGAGATATTTGGTTGAACATTGAGTGCCTGTGGTGGGACATATTTCTGAGGATGTTCTTTCTTTACATTATTCAGAGATCAACAAATCGTGTAATGTTGTTATGAATATTAACAGTTTATAACAATCATTTATTTTTGCACATTATGAATGTGCATACTGTGAATGTTGGTGTCTTTGCATTTATACATTAACATACATCAGCCGGTCAGATAGTATGAAGCTAGCTGTCTCTCAACTAAGGAAGAGTTGGAGATTTTGTTTGCTTTGCTTTGGAGAGACTTTAAAAATCTTTCATCTCTCAGAAATACAGTGAGAGAAGTTACAGCACAGGTATTTATGTTTGACCTGGAGATGGAATCATTCTTTAGAAGAGCTTTTTGGGGCACTCTGCGAGCCCAAACATGCATATTGTATGTCTGCTAAGAGCATTATCACAACCTAACTTTTTAATTTTTTTTATTTAATTTCCTCAGCTTAAACAGTTCAATAGTAAGGTCATACCTCATGCATGCTCTCATTGTCAGTGCAATCTAGTGATGTTGAGTTTGAAAGTGTCTGATAGAGTTGAGATATGTGGCTGGCATCCTGGTGAAAGGTAACTGGCGTGGAAGAGGAAGGACTCCCCTGGCATTACCCCTAAAGAAGGCAAAGCTGACAAGTCCTGAATGCCCTTTTTGGTACTGTAAGTTCAGTTCAGCACAGAGGATCTGACTCTATACAGTCTTACTTGTTTGAAAAGATAAAGGTGGCAACATGTATGTTCGGAGCATTTCACACTAAACTAGAGAAGAGGAACAAAAGACAGTGCTTTTGATCAAATTAAATCAAGAAAGATTATTTTAATACAGGGTTTTATGTTGAAGAGGTGTTGTAATTTTTAGCTATTTTTGGTATGAAGATATATATTAGGTACTACAGTGGATTTTACTGCTAGTTTTAGGTGGTGGAAGAGGACAGTGTGCACAGATATTGGGGGCACTTTTTGGTCAGTGTGCACAGTTTTTGGGGGATCTTTTTTTTTTTTTGCCCACATCCCCCATCCCACAATACACACTTGTACCTCTTAAATGGCCTGTGTCAGTATAAATGGACTCATTCTGAACCATTTAATCTACCTATCCTCATCCTCATGGTTCTCATCTTGTCAACTTGAGGTGGAATGTTGAAGTATTGTCACAAGTGCTACCAAAATTAATGCAATGTATGGTGCCTGATCTTTTTTTTTTTTTTTTTTTAAACCTTGGTACATTACTAGCAACTTCTTGAGGTAAAGAAAAAAAAAAGAATGTAGATGTTGATGATTTGTATCTATTATCTGCTCAGATTCCCTGGAAGGTGTTTGAGTACATTTTTACCATCTTCTATATCTTCTAATTTGATAATCAGGTCTGTTAAGTTGCATTACCTGGACATTTCATTTCTAAAATGATGCTGCATCATCGTAGCTTTGTACAGTAACTTATGCATGTATTTTAATGTCACTGCAAACATGCTTTTAGAACGGACATAGATGATCCACAATACAGTATTCACAATGTTTCGATATGCAAAACGTATGTGAAAATAATACATTTCTAAAAGTGATGGATTAAATTGATCAGATTTGGAGGGTTTGAATATGTATTTTTGTAAAAACTGAAAAATGGATTTGCATGTTTCACATTTGTCTGCAGGTCTGAAACAACTGGCTGCAGTTTAGACAGATGGTAGTCAAGATGCCTTTTGTTTGGCTCTGAAATTGACAGGTTGATTGTAGGCTTGCATGACATTTTCTTCCCAAAAAAGTTATGTTCCCAATTAACAGACTTGGAACCAATCAACGAGGACATCCATAATAAGAATCTGACTTTGAAAGGATTTGATGAAACAGCTAAACAACCCACTTTAAAATACTGAAGCCTTAATTTACTTTTTAATTTACTTGGCATTACTTCTGCATGTGACCGGTTCAATTCTCCTAATTTTTTTGTGTTCCACCAACATTTCTACAAGGGTTTGTGCATGTGTTTGTGTCATGTGGAAGAATTGTGTCAAGTGTTAGGAGACCCAGCTTTCTGAGAGTCAGAGGTTTTGGGTGATGATGGTAAATGTCTGTGCTTGCGGGCCAGGGCAGCAACATTTTCCGGCAGGCAGGAGTTGGTCCAGCAGCCGGATGTTGTTCATTTGATCCACAGAACAACTTCAGTCCAGTGACTTGAAAGTTGAGTTGGACATGTGTTGAAAGCCTTTCATCAGCCTTTGGCCCACAAGAACAGAAAAGACTCATTTTCTGAGGAGAGACTGAGTGACTGACTGAAAAAAATAAAGTGTAAATAAAGAGCAGCCGTTTTAGATGTCTCTGAAAGAGGCCGTAACAGTTCACCAGATTTTTACTTGTCAGAGTATCTCCTAAATGTTATGGAAAAAACAAGATGAGATAGATGTTAAATTGTAAGAGAAAATGTATATTAAACAACATTTCTTAGTCTTGTTGAAATAAAGACTGCCAATATTTAAAATGCTTGTGAATTGTTTCATTTTATCAACTCTCTTGATTGACTGGTCTCACTTTATTTAGATGTTCAAGTGTCCGGAGTTTCAGGTAAGAATCAACATAGTGTGAAAAGTGGTCAACACTGGAGTCTAAATAAAGCTGATGTAAAATGCTGCATTTACATTTTTAGTTTGGGGGATCAACCTTTTAAAAAAAACAAAAAAAAAACAGGTTGTGTGTTCTTTGAGGTTTTTGTGGCTTTGTAACAGCAATTAAACTACAATGTCGTACAAGTAGACTAGCTACTTCCACTGTCCATAATCCGAATACTTTCACTTATGGTCAAATATGCAGAAGGCTTTGGCCACTGCCCATCAGCCCATCAGCTGCCTGGTACAGAATAAATAACTTTCTTTTTTACAGTTAAGGACGTCGCACAGATCAGGCAGAAAACGCATGGTCTCAATGTTACCTGTGTTCGGTATTTAAAGGTCCAGTGTGTAACATTTGGTAGGATCTATTGTCAAATATGGAATATAATATTCATATGTGTGTTTTAACAAGTGTATAATTACCTGAATATAGGGTTTGTTGTGTTTTTGTTACCTTAGAATGAGCTGTTTTTGTCTACAGAGGCTGCAGGTCATCTTCCACGGACCTCCATGTTTCTACAGTGGCCCAGAACAGACACTGGCTGTACACAAGGTCTTTTGAGTTTTTCACGAGTTTCACAGTCACCGTAATTTCTCCTACACACTTCTCATTCAGTCACTTGGGAACTTCTACTTCACTGCTAGATGCCACTAAA